GTTCTTATTTGATATCTACAGTAAATTTCTATTAAAAAAAAAATATTTTGAAGTTTTTACTATATAAAGAAATTAAATAAATATTGAAAGTTCAATAAAACATTAAAAAAAAAATAAATACTATTTTATAAATGTTAATTATATGTATTTATAGTAAATAGGTGAAGTCTAAATAAACATCAAGAAAATTACTATATAATAAAAAATAAATATTCACACAAAAAATAATAAAAATATTTTTTTTTTACACATAATTGTTAAGATGTTTTTGAGGTAGTGCCGGAGACATTGGACAGGACGACTAATCCTAATATATAAAATATGATTGGATCTTAATATATTATATGTTGTTCGAAATAAATGAATAAGTATAGTTAGGGCTTCAAACCTTATATTAAAAATTATTTATATATATAAATTAAAAATATTTATACATATAAATTATTTACATTGAGTTTATTGTTATATGAAATTAGTTAAGTAATATTACAAAGTACTTAATTTAATTTAAATTCCTTTATATTTTCTTTTATTTTTATTAAAATTTAAGTGTCGATAAATAAAATACAAATCATTAATGCAGCATATAAATTTTGATTCAAAAATAATTGCTATACTTTGTAAGAAGTGCACAAACTATTTTTTTTTTTATTTTTCTATTTTAAATTCTCTATTTATATATTTGTAAATTGTATAAATATATAATTATATTTATTTATTGATACTACTAAATTGAAATTTACTCTTCGAGTAAGTGCAATGAATTTGATATGTATATTCATGCTTTATAATTTTTTGGCTACTTAGCTTATGATCATTTTGGCCTTTAATAACAGGACCTAAAAAGTTTTTGTTTTGTATTAAAGCATTCTTATCACGTAGTTGTGAAAATATTTAAAAGTGTATAATACACATTTTTATATAATGAAATGCATAGAATTGGCTGAGTTAGTTGTAGTAAAATTTTATATAATGAAAATATTTGATATTATGTTTGAATATAATGGTTTTCAACATAAGTTGCCAAAAGTTGCTTACCTGAAGTAATAGTTTTAATTATATGTCGGATATATAATTTCATTATTCCATAAAATTTTATACTTTTCAATTTTTTTGTATTATATTGTACTAAAACTTATTCATAAGACTCTTCTTTCGGATCTTGTCATCTTCATAGTATCTGGTCATCTTCATAGTATCTGGTCATCTTCATAGTATCTCGTCATTCTCCCCGTCATCATAGTATCGGCCGAATTGCACTATATAATTTGCATGTAACTATTAAGTAGATACAATTTGTTAGCAACTTGATTTCCTGTTCTAACTATACTTAATGCACTATTATAACTTCATAATGCTTTATTCAGAATCTGTAGTTCATTTTAATTAAATGCACATTAAATCGTATTTTGTAGTCAATAAATGTTTTACTGTTTTCAACATTTGAACTAAAGGCTTACTAAGTTTATTATTACACAATATTACAGATAGACAATACTAAAAATAAAATTCAATTAATAAATACGTATTAATCAAAACTGTGTTCTCTAATCATTCCAGGTTTGTTTATTATTTTTACCATTTCATTTGAAGGATTTCTATGTAATGTTGTTCCGCGCTACTTTTAAACAAAATATTACAAAAAATATTAATTTGGATAAACAATTTTTTATATGCTCGTATAATTCATTATTAATTTGACTTAATGTTGTAATCAATTTTCACAGCAAATAACTATGAGTAAATATGTAATTACATTGGGGCGACCAAAACAAAAACATATTTTAGCCATTAACATTACGTTTGGTTTATATGCCAACATTTGTTCTAACAAATTAGCACCTATTGGCCGTCATTATTTTTGACAGCTACACATCATAATGTTTACATTTTTTTCTTCTAAGTATAAAAATAATTAAAAACATAATGAAGGAAAATATTGTGTATATTGTGTGTATATTTTCATCAACAAATTGTATTTGCGTTAAAATAATTATATTTTCTGTAATGAAAATCTGTAAATATGCTTCATCGAGTGTGTGTGTGTGAGTATGTAGAGAGAAGTATCGTACATCGTACATATATGAGTAAATATTTCACAAATGCCATATTTTCGATTTTGGCTTGAAGCCTTCCAATGCTGAGCTATGCTGTTTCTCTGCGAGTACTTCATTTTTGGTATTATGACGCATTTGTTATTCAACTGAATTTTTAGTATATATTTTAATGTTTTTTTTTCATTTGAAATTATTTTTTGGAAAATTTATTTAGAATTTTTTTTCTCCTAGACTTTTTAATGTGGTTTAGGCCAAAAACAAACATAATTCCTGGCGTTGAAACAAAGTAATGCCGAGTGTTTCGAGCGGGTGTCGCAGTCTTGCATCCGCTATTTAGTTCACTACGGTTTGTGTGTAGTTTTGTTTACTTTGAGGAATTCGTTTCATCTTTATAACTTTTTCCATTTTTCATTTTTTATTTATTTCTTGTATTTATTTTAATAACGTCATTGCATTGAGTGTAAAATGAGTCGTCGTCACTTTGATGTTTAATTTTCTAAAGGAGGCCAAAAGTATCTGCTAAGTATTTGCAAGTACATATACAGATTTTGTTAGAAATTTATTTTGTTTTTCTTAAATTAAAAGTTTTATGTTTTTTTTTCTTCGAAGTATCTGAAGTATGTGTAAAGTGTTTATTTATGTATTTATTTTGAAGAATGTAAACTTTAAAGTATTTTTCAAGAGTCTCATATATGCTAAATGTTCATGAAAAAATAATAATAAGTTTGTAAATAGATGCAACATTTTTTGTTATGCTATGTTAAACACTATGATGAACACATAATTAAAAAACCGTAAATAAGGAAAGAATTGCTATCAATTGTACTAAAAAAAAACATTAAAAATAAATGTCTAGTATAAATAATAATAATAATAATAATAATAATAATGATGTTTTATAAAATTGACTAATAACTTTTTAAATATTTATAATGTTTACAACTTTTAAAATTTGAACATAAAAATAAAAAAAAATGGTGAATATATGAAAAAAAATTAAAATAGGAAAATACATAAAAAAAAAAAAAATAAAAAAATATAAAAAAATAAAAAAATAAACAAAAAAAAAAATAAATTAAAATAAAAAAAACAAATAAATAAATAAAAATAAAAATAAGAAAAATAAACAAAACAATTGGAACAATAAAGTTATGAATAAAAAAAGGTTATAATTAAAAAAAAAAATAAAAATTAAAAACTGGACAGAAAAGGACAGAAAAGGAAAAAATAAAATATTAGAAATAAATAAAACACAAAATGAACCAAATAAGAAAACAAGACAAAATAAATAAAAAAAAAATAAACAAAAAAGGAAAAATGAAACAAAAAAAAAAACAAAGGGAATATAAAAAATAGAAAAAATAAAAAAAAAAAAATAAAAAAAAAATATAAAAAATAAAAAAAAACAAAACAGAAATTATAAAAAAAACAGAACAAAATTAAAAAATACGAAAACAGAAAATTGAAAAAATTAAAAAAATGTGAAAACAGAAAATTTAAAAATATAAAATAATTTCATATTCATAGGAAAATAAATAAAATAAAATAAAAAAATAAATAAAAACTAAAATATAGCAAATATAACAAATATAAAAAATATGAAAATTATAAAAAATATAAAATATGTAAAAAATATGAACATTTATGAATACCAATATAAAAAGATAAAATATAACAATTATAAAAAATAAGGATAAATGAAAAAATATAAAAAATAAAATAAATACAATAATAATAATAGTATCAGCATTATTTGTCTGTATTGTATTTCTATGAGAATTTCTGTACAAAAAGTGAGTTTGATCTTTCATCAAATAATATGGTATATAAAGCGTAAAAATTTTTTTGTACAGCTAAGTGTTCATGTAATATTTTATGTATGTTGAATCCCTAGAGTGCCTCAATTTTATAGAAGGTCGTATAATAAACTAACATTATTAGTTTTTGCGTAGCAGCAATGTATTTGATCTCAACATTCAATGTATTGAGATACTCGTCAACCTTCACTTTGTACTTAAACGGCCAGTAACCGGGTTGAAACTTACCATATAAGCGTGTTTTAGTTTATTTTTATTGTTTATAATCATGTTTTATAGTAATAAAGAATCGTGTTTCAGTAGTTTCCCTTTTGGCATTATACTATTCTATCATTTCTGGTTACTTTTACGATTAAGTACAATGTGTTTGGGTACAATGCTTTCCTGAGGTTTCTCACATTTAAAAAAACCAAAAACAATTATCGATAACCTATCGATTGTCTTGATAAATCGCATTGAAAAACATAATAAATCATTGTACATAAATTTTCAATAGTGTTAAATTTTCCAGTGTAAATGTTAGCATATGAGATCTGCATATGTATTATTATATATGTATTGTTATATATGTATTATTATATATGTATTATTATATATGTTTTATTATATATGTATTATTATATATGTATTATTATATATGTATTATTATATATGTATTATTATTATATTATATATGTATTATTATATTGTATTATATTTTTTTCAAAATATTTCCTTCAATCTTATAATATTTTTATATATTCTATCTAATTTTGCTATGTAATTTCTATGCAAATAAGTGTAAATTTTGACAATTAAAAAACTTTTTTTTTTAAAAAATGATTTATGTGAAAAACTTGTGTTGGTTTCAATTTTTTATGTTCAAAAAAAAAATCTAATAAACTTTTTTTTTTATTTGTTTGAAATTCTTTAATTAATTGAAAACATTTTTGTCAAGTTTTTTTTTATTTATTTATAAATACATATATCATTAACAATTCCCGCCTTTGTTTATGACAACGACAAATTAAATTAAAATGATGCAAATAATGAAAACAAAAATATCTCAAAATGTTAAAAATGTTATAAAAATGTTAAATTAATAATTAAAATTAAATAAATTAAAAACAGACCAAATTAAAAACAAAAAAAAAATTTTTTTTAAATATATATTAAACGATATTGCTATGAAAATATTTGCAGAAATTCTATAAAATTAATGCAAAATGCAGATATTTATTATAGCTATAAAATCGGCAAAACAGAACCATCGTGAGCAACAGGCGACAGCAATAGCAACAACAGTAGCAAAAGCAGCAATGGCACAACATAAGATACAACTGAAAGCCAACAATTGTTGTGATTGTTGGTGTTGTTGTTGCGAATTTCGTTGCGGTTTGCTTTCACTCGCAGCTCGATGTGGGTGGGTGTGTATATTCAATTCATGCTTGCAATACCGTTAATGTCGCCATAATGTCCGCATAATGCAGACGCAAATAATTTGCTTGTTCGCACGCCAAACAACGTACAGACACACAAACACACATACAAACAGAAACACACACTCACTTTGTCTGTTTGTTTGTTGGTGTCGTAGAAGAATTGCGCTAGCTAATGTCCTTGATGGTTGAGTTACGGTTCAGTGTGCTTGTTGTGCTAAACTCGTTCGAATGCAATTACACCTACACGAGCACAACGATTTGACATACTCGCTGGCACAAACAAACATACACAACGATTTGTAGTTGCCGCTGTTGTTGCTCGCTGCTGTTGTGTCTGCTGTGTTGCAGTTACTAAAATAAAAGTAAATGCTTTAAATAAATGTTGCTTTTGTTTGTGTAGATTAGAGAAAAATAAAAATTATTTATGTCATTCACATTATTATTGCATTTTAATATAAATTTTCGCTTTTACTTTTATTTTTAGTCGATGTCAGTCCGCCCAGATTAGCCATTAATTGAGTTATTAACTTTTTATTTTTGTGGTCACTGTAATCGCATAATTATTACACATTTAATTATGCATATATTTCCTATTTAATTATAGCGGTGAATAATGTCCGCATTTTGAAATTATTTTTTTTTCTCCATTATTGAAAATTAGTTCATTTATTGAATATAATTGTATTATTAGCAGAAATTTATATTGAAATGTGTTCAAATAATATATAACACACAGCGTATGAGTAACAAAAATTTGATTACCTGATATGTTACAAGTTGTTATTTAGTTACCATATAGTGTTGTAAATAAATGTTTTATATATAAAACATTAAACATATCACATACGAACGATGAGAATAACACAACACAGAAAGAAAGCGAAATGCAGAGAAGAATGGAGGCGTATTGTTGAGGAGGCAATGGTCCATCCTGGACTGTGATGACAAAAACAAAATTAATCATATCATGGCTCTTATTCGGTTCTAATTCGCGCTTGATTTAGTTCCGAGTCGCACTTGATTTAGTTTTAATTTGTTTCTGATTTATGTTTTAGTTTTAGTGACATGTCAAACAGAACTGTGTTATCTAAGCGTTCATATATCATATATTTAATTAGGAATTCGTTGTTTTATAGTAAAAATTGTTTCGACATCGCTGAATGGGTTGAAATTATACTTAAAAATCATCAAGATAATGTCGTTTTTTCGCATCGTATTTTTTTTCTAATGTAGTTCATATTACAGCTGGTAAATATGTACTCAAACAAAGTTATAGTATTATCTATTACGTAGTTCGTATTCAGTTCTGAATTTATTTTGATTTCTGATTAGACATTGATAAGGTTTTGAATTGATTCTGATACAATTTTGATCAGATTTTAATTCGATACTCATTTGACTTCGATTCGCTTTTGATTCGTTGTTCCGCTTTAGTGATATATATCAAGAACTATGTCACCTAAACTATCAAATATTTAGTTTAGGGTTCGTTACTTTATAATATATATTTTGCTTAAAAATCGCTGAATGTTTTAAAATCGTACTCAAAGAACAAAGTTTTGTAAAACGATTTTTCGCATCGAATGTTTCTCAATGATGAAGCATTTTTTCACTTGGTGGATATAACAATAAGCAAAGTTGTCGCATTTTAACGCAGCGATAATCTGTGGAATATTTGTAGATTAGGTCCCACCTGTTATACATTTTATTGCGATCTTTTTAAAAAATGATGGAGATGTATCACAAATCGTCAACTCTGAGCAGTATTTATATTGAGCTCTTTCATTTATAGTACCTGTTTGGGTAGTTACTGAGTAACTCTTCCAAAAGGTTGTGCCATCAAAAAAAAATAATGAAGAATAAATTTTCCACTATTTTCACTGTTAAGTTTTTTGTTATTGTGAAAAAAAAGAGAATTTATTAGTCGTTAAAAAAAGAGATAGTACAAATTAGATCACATTTTGCGAGTGTGATTTATATATGTTTCATGGAGCTACGGATATTTTTAAAAGATTTGATGTGGCACGTACCATCAAAACAGTTGAGAAATGTCGGTGGATAATTTATTGCAATTAATATTTAATTGAAGTCAGCAATCTTTTAATAATAGATATTATAACTGAAAGTATAAAAAAAATATATATATATAAAAAAAAGAAAAAAATAAATTATAAAAATTACCATATATAAAAACTGAAAAAAATTTAAAAGAAAAATAAAAATTTGAAAAAATAAAATATTAAAAAAACAAAAAAAATTAAAAAATTTAAAAAAATGAAGAAATAAGAAATAAGAAAAACAGAAAAGAATAAGAGTAAAAAAATGAAATAAAAATAAAAGTAAATTATAACACCTCCTTAAAATGTGATCAATCTCAAATTTCTATAATTTCTTAACAGATTCTTATTTAAAATAATTTTTAATTACTTGAAGAAATTTTGTTTTTTGTTGTAAATTTTTGTTATTAAAATTAACCCACAAATTCAATTTAAGTCTTAAATCAACTAAACAGAAATGTGTTAATTCAGTTATGCTGCCTTTCCTCTTTCCACCACTATAGGTGGTGCTGTTCCATGTAAAACGTTATAAACCAAACGATTGCGTGAAAATGCGTATTTCCACTTCCTTAAGCAGGATTAATAAAGAAATTAAAAGTTTTTCGTGCCTCGAAATGAGTCAAGTTTTCCTCCATACAAAATTTTTTTTCTTCCTATTTTCTTGCTTTCTTTATACTGTTTTCCTCCTTTTGATTTGAATTAGTTTTCCTTTCTCATATTTTATTGTTTTCTTTATAGTCGACATTTATTGTTTTATACAGTGGTCTCCTGCCACAGTGCGTTCATCTGCGGTGCCTGCAGCCATCATATAACGCCTTCAACTTAAACAATTTTATATGAAATTTTATTTATATTTTTATTTCACTGAATTTTGATTTTAAAGATTTCTGGCTTATTTTATAAATATGTTGTATTTTGTATTTTATATTTCATTTCTGCTTTTGTTGATTTATTGTTGCTGTTCGTCTAATTTGTGAGGTTTTTGATTTGCATTTAACTGCCGCATTCACAGCCAAAGAAATTCATTTTGTATTCCTTAGCTATTTTCCCTGCGGTGTCGGCACATTATCCTGTTGTTTAGCTATTTTGTTGCATGTGTTTGTGTGTGGATCCTGTAACTTTGCAAGGCTACGTCTAGGACTGTTTCCTGTAAATTCATTATAAACTCTTAGGAATGCTTACTTTGTTCTCAAAATCTTTCTTTCCATTTTATTTTTATTGTTTTTACAATTTTTATTATTTCTGGCATTGGTGGTTTTGGTGGCTTTGGATTTATGATTTTTTAGTTTTGTCTCCATGAACGTCTCCATATTGTTTTAATTTTTTTCATCAACATTTTTATTATTTTTTATTTTGCATTTATAATTGTGTAAAGTTTTCTTTTATGTTCGGTTTAATTGGGTTGTAAAATTTCTTTAAAATTTATTTTTGTAGCTTCATTTTAAGTGATTTGCAGCATTGCTCTTAAAGCCTGAGACAAGTGTCTTCGGGGTATTGAATTTTGTAATAGCTTTTAAGATTTTTAAATGATTTTATTAATAATTTATTTATCAAATTTTTTTACATAAATTTTTATGGCATTCATGGCTCTTGGCGGCATTGTTGATGTGGTGATGTGATTATTTAAAACAAAATATCCCGCAGCGCTTAAAGTGAAATTAATGGTGAGGCGACCACATTCACAGCTCGTCGAGCAGGGAATTATACCGCGTAAGTATTATTTTTTATTATTTAAAATAATGAATACTATGTTATAATTGCAATTAAATTTTTTTTAATCATTAATATAAACTATTAAAACTACAACAAAAAAAATTTTTTTTTGAATAGTTTATAAAATGGACATTTTATAGTTTTTAGCAATAGACTAAAAACTTGCCAACTTTTTAAAATTTTATGAATGTCTAAATAATATTATTACTATAATACTTTTTATAAAATTTTGAACTATTGTCAAAAATATGTTTTTAAGCAAAATGCAAATAAAAAGAAAAACATAATGTTTTAAATGAGATATAGCAAAAGAATTAACAAAAAGAATAGTACTTAAATTAAACAATAAAGAAAGACAATAATAAATTAGTTTACTTATGTTTTGATTTATAATTCCGTTCTAATATAACAAGTGTATTTGTTAATAAACTTTCACAATAAATACAAAAAAAAACCAAATTAAAATAATACCATCAACACTGACTTTAAGCTTCAAGTTTGACAGAATACAGGTTCAATCCTTGGTATTTACAGTTTAAAATATTATTTATGAATAATTGAATATAAAAAATATTTCTATTTCTAAAAAGACCATTGATAATGGATATTGGGCCAAAGCTTTAGTTATAGTGGAGATTTAGTTCTCCACTTTGTTCACAAAGCTTTAAAGGGCTTTGAGTAATTAATAGTGAAATTGGTACAATAGGATTCTTTTCGCTGCAATACCTGTTGTTGGGTGATTTCTCGTTAATAATTTTAATAGTAATAAGGTCTAGACCTAAACTTTAGTTTGATACTTAAAGTAACCGCTAGATTAAATAACATATACACTCTTACAATTACGATCAGACGTCACTTCTGAACAAAACAATCATGAGGCTAATGGTTATTTGACAAAACATTTTGAAGAATCCTGCTTGGAGAAAGCATGTTTTCTTAACCTAACCTGGGTTAAGTTTGGTTGCGAGCATTAAAAAATTACCATTGCATTGTGTTCCTGTTTTTTTAGGAGTTCATAATTTTATAAATTTGTGTTATATTGTAGGCCTTATCATGTCTTCTTTCATTTTAACTCCCGTTATTCATGTTTGATGGTATCAGAAAAAAAAGACACCTGGCATATTAGGTGACAAAAAGACATAGTGGCATATTAGGTGTATTTGCCACTATCTACACTTATATCGATCCTGACTGTACTTTATGAAAATGTAGTTTTACAATTTACCAACAATATTTTTAATTTACAGTATTTGAACATTTCAAAGTGTTTGGCTATATCGCAACATTCAACTTTGATTCCATAATTATGAAGAATTTGTTTGTGTGTGTTTATAAATATACTGACCCCAGTTTTATGCCATAGTTCTGTTCTTATAAAAGATGACGCTAACTTAATCGGTGTAAAATGAACGCATATTTATAGTACGATATAGGGTTAGGTAATATATAAGTTAAAATAAAATAAATATTTTGGTTTCTTAAGCAAATGTATTGTAAAGAATATTATAAATGTAATGTAGTTATACCAATTTCATATTACTCATTTTAAATATATTTAATTATATTTTACAACTTATGAAGACAGTAGATACAAAGTAATTGTCTCATAGTTATATTTTAACGCTCAATGTTGTCTTGTTTATTATTATAAATATTAGAAATTTTACCAGAAATTTACCAGAAAATACTACAATTTTATTTTATTGATTTCTAAAAAAAGGAATCAGCCTTTATTGTTTAAATTTTATTTTCACTCTTTTTTTTTTATCAAAAATGTTAGAGTATTGTTAATAAATGATGATAAATTTGATGCTGCTGCTTCATACATTTGCATTTCTCTCACAATTGTTGTGTTATCACAAATTTTATTTATAAATCTTTGAATAGTTTAGTTTGATCGTTTTTAGAACATTTAAAGTTATCTCTTTGTTTTCGTCCTTCTCTAAGTATTCACGATGCAATTCTTTGTATAGTTATTCGAAGTCTACGTTCGAGATAGGTTAACAATGATTTTCTAAAAGTTCTGCTATATCTACAGTTATAATTTTTTCGAATCTGGTACCAATCTGTTAATGACTTCAATGAAATTCTTTTTAAGTACCAGTGCTTTAAACTTATGCATTAATTCTGAAATATATAATCACATGGCAATAATTGTAAATCAATTTATATTGAACTCATTTTAATTGAGGATCAATTGTTGAGAACCACATATTATATTTACTTATATATATACGTATATCTAATATTATAAGTAATAATTTCTTTGCTTACTTTTTCTTATTTTATTATAATACATATAATACATATAACAAAAACGAACTATTTCGATTTTTAGGTTACAGTTCCCTACTTGTGAGTACTTATATAAAACACAGTTTTTGTTATTTATAAAACTAAAACAAATTCATATATGAAATAAAAACTTTTAATAGACTATTTAATTTCTAAAATAATTATTCATCTGAATTATTTGCTCTTTACTGATGGTGGTGAGTAGCTAAAGAAAATTTATCTTTGCTTAATTGTTTCCATAAGCGTAAACCATAAGAAATAATTATATATTTATATATATATATATATATACCAATGTGTGTATACATTTATATAATTAATTGAATTATATTTATTTTCGCACCTGCTATTTTAAATTTCTATTCAATTTTCGGTTGTGTGATATCAAACTAGAATTTATTTTTAAAATACAAAATTCTAGCCAAAAAGTTGTAGGCGTCGGATTTGCTGTTGATTTTGGGATATATTTAAAAGTGGCTTAGAGCGAATACCCGTAGGTAAACTCATTTTGTTTATATATGAACTTTAAACTAAAAATAAGCAAAATTCATCCGGTATTTTTATATTTTTCTACTAATAATTGCAAATTAATTTATTTATGCATTTAAATTTAGTACACGTGTATATTCGATCGTACGAATATATCTTTTATATTTGCTACTATCTCTGACCATTTTCTCATTATCTGGCATTATTTTGTATTATTTTCACTTAATTGACATTTGATGAATACGTGCTTTCACGTCATTATTTTTACAGTCAAAATATGTTTATCTATTTTTGTTTATATTTTCACTATATGCTATATTTATTTTTAGTTAATTTTGTTACAAATTGATTAATTGATTAATTTTTGTTCAAATTGAATATGTTTTCAAAATAAGCGGAATTGTTATTTATAAATTTTATATATAATTTCAAAAGAAAATATCAAAAAATCAAGTGATACTAACTATGTACAGGGTCTTCATACAGTAGGTGCTTTTTTTTAATAAAATAACACAGAACTAATTGATAATTAATCAGTCAATGAACAATATTTTTGTTCAATAATGTTTGACGAATCACTGTGTAAACTTACGTCAAGTAGATTTTGCAAATTATTTATATATGACTATTTATGAGGACTAGATTTCGTCTTTTGTTTCTATTGCGTCCTCGTCCATTTATCATTTAAATACATTTTTGTGTTTCTGCCCTTTTTAAGAAAAATTAAAACAAGAATTTCATGATGGATTATCTCAAAAATCAAAATCATTCTACAATTAGATTCGGCTAGCCAACACAGATTTTAAACATAGATCACTAATAACCTCTATTGACATACTACTTTATTTTCCCCGGGAAGTACAACTTTAGCGCAGTCGTTTTAAATGATTTGTATATGACTATGTATAAAGACGAGATTTCAACTAACTTAAATAGGACAACTCCACTGTGTTCTCATCCATATTCCGTTTTGAGATTGATTTTTGTGCTTTTACACTCTCTTAGAAGATTTAAATAAAAATTTAATTACTTTAAAGTAATAAAATTAATAACCTAAATATTTAGTGGTGGAGTAATCTCAAAAACAAAATTGTCGTAAAATTAACTTTGATAACCCAACACAGATTTTTAACATAGATTATTTAATTAACTTCGATAACCCAACACATATTCTTAACATAGATTATAAACGGTCTTGATTGTTGTCATACTTTATTTTGCTAGAGAAGCATAACTCTTGCACAGATTTCAAGACTCATTAAAACCTCTTCTGCAAACTGGTCTTCTTTCATGAAAGAGAAAAAAAAGAGTGGAAAAGTGGGAAAAAGAGTTTAAGAAAGAGATGTATGGGCACATGAACTATGTATTCAAAACAAATGTTTACAGATGTTGAGCTTCATTTGTCTAACCTTTAAGCTAACATAGGTCTAGAGTTCAAGAGGCCATCTATTATATGTGGAAAATGCACAGCTTATAATTATTTATGTACTAGTGCATGATTGATCTGTACTTCTTTGAAAAGTAGTTCAGACTAGTAAATAATTCGTGTTAATTATACGAGAAAAAGTTTTGGAAACATGTCAGCTGGTGACAACAAATATAAGAAATCAAGTTATATTATTACTAAAGAAGAACTAACTATTATTTAGTATTCTTATAAGATGAAGAAAAGATCTTCTTATAAGATCTCTCTAAAGCAGAAACAACAGGAACGATGTTAAGAGAGCTGCCTAAAAAAATACTGTCTGTTAGAAAAACTTTCCGTTAAAAGAACTGTTAATTAATAGTACTGGCTTTTAAAAGAAGTCTTCGTTGAAAGAAACTTGCTTTATTTCATATTTAAAATAAGAGCTATGGACTAGTAACAGTGCTGCAGTGTTAAGAGGTATATCTGTTTTTAAGACCGCCTGTGTAATACAGTTTTTACATAAATCAAATCTTAAATTTAATCTATTTACTGTATTAAAGATCTACTTGCAATTCGTTTTATTTGAGGTTATATTTATATGAAAGTTTATATATTCCGGTTTTAGTTCTGATTCGTTTTCCAATTCCAAATATATATGTTTTTGTTTTGTTTTAATATTACAATATTTTCTTCACTGTTTATAGTACATCTCAGTGGTTTTGCTATTATTTTTTATTTTCTTTTCGATATGAACATGAAAAGTATAAAAGGTATTATTTGATTTTTTAAAAAAAAATAAAAAAATTCGGTAATTCCTATATAAATCAAATACGCTCAAAGGCTGAGCTAAACCCCTAAAAATATGCAAAGTATGCGCGAATTTCAATTTATAAGGAAATTTATGCGTTTTTTTTTCTTTCTTCACTTCAAAAGCAGAAAAATCAACAAAAACATAAAGTGAAATAAAATAAAATATAAATAAAGAAAAAAAAAATTGAATTCAAATTAAAAATTCGGTTTCTAACATCTTTTTACTTTATACAAGAAAAACATAAATAAATATCAATTGACAAACACATTGACAAGCCGCGTTTGCGGCTGACAGGACATATTTCTTAGCGTCTCTCAATATTGACTTTTATAGCGTCAATGTGACACGCCTAAGAATGTTGTGCCTATCCGTCTTGTAGGTGTATATTGCACAGGCATTTGCACGATTGATATTAAGTTATATATATGCAGCACTTAATTTTATTTTATTCAAGGAATAACAAATGTGAAGCTTAGTTAGTAAAAAATAGTGAAATAAACTTAATTCTACTTTTTTATATTTTTTATTTAGATATTTAAATTCAGCCAATGACTTATTATTTCTTATCTCTTTTTTTAGCTCTCAAAACTTCACCTGCTATACATGAGCAATGCAAACAATTAGAACGAGCTAAAACTAGTGATTTATTAAAGGCAAAAATTCAACAGCGTCCTAATCGTGAAGATTTGGAACGGCGTCATATACTGGAAGAAGATGAGTGTCATATTGATCCCAGTTTGGCTGAGAAGCAACGTATGCTTAAGAAAGCACGTTTGGCTGATCAACTTAACTCGCAAATACAGCATCGTCCTGGTCCACTAGAACTTATAAAGAAGAATATACTACACACTGAGAAACCAATTGAAAAAATTGTTAAAGAAGGTTTGGTTTCATTTAAAGCTACTAGTGAGGGCTTGCTTACACTACCACAGCATCCAAACAGCTATGTTACATTCGAAGATGATTCACAAAGTTCAGAGAGTGACACACGTTTGACGCCTCCACGTGCAGAGGATGTAGCAACCGTGCTTGTTAGTAATAGTAGTGATGTGCTTCAGACTGCCGCCGCTTCAGCTGGTATTGTGACGGTGGCATTAACCATACCAACTAGTGGTGGACCAGTTGTAGTTACATCAGCACCTATATTGCAAACTAAATATCAAACAACTAAAACAACTAAAACAACTAAAACTCCATATGTACCACCACCGCCACCATTACCACCAACATTGAGTAATAATATTGCGCCATTGCCAGTTGTACAAATAAAACAGGAAACTTCAAATCTTTTCGAAGAGCTTTGTCACTCAGTAACAGCACCAATAACAAGTCCAGCTAATAATTTTCTACAAATGGTAGCTTCACCAGGATCACTGGGTTCAACGACTTCCACATTAAGTCCATTGTCTTCCATTGCGTCGCCACCGCAATCATTTACACCACGACCAACAATACCATCGCCTGCTCTACAAACACAATTTGCAAAATCTGATGCACCTGGCAAAGATAAAAATCGTAAAAAATCCAAATCAAAACCAGCTTCCAAAGCAAGAACTATTAAATTTCATGAGTATAAAGGTCCGCCTAGTGCCGCTCAAAAATCCAATGCTGAAAATGCATCGCTTGAAGAAACTCCATATCAACTGTTATTGGATCAACAGAAGTGTTTACTTAAATTCTTAGAGACACTAAATAACAATCAATTGATAATACCAGCTAGCTCAACAACAAACACACCTACAAATAATGCGCTAGTTACTGTTACTAAATCGGTTTTCTCCGCTACACCAACAAATACAACAACCGTAAACACGTTGTCTGCACCAGCATTAGCAACTCCTATCGGCACATCGTCAAACAATTCAAATGAGGTCATTAATAATATACCGAATTCTGTTAATACAACATTTAACATTATAGCCACACCACGTCCGCCACCCTTGCCATCGCCTGCTCTATCCGTTAGTTCATCTATACCGCCGAGTCCAGCAACAAGCTATGCTGAATCAACTTGCTCACTAACAGATTTTACGAGATTAGAAAAGATGAAAGTATCTGATTTAAAAATGCACCTTAAACGACGCAACTTGCCAGTGTCTGGCCCAAAACCTCAATTAATTGAACGTTTAAAACCTTATTTGCCACTCGAAACAACTGAAACCGTGCTTGTAACAAATCCACCAATGACTCCAGCGCCTGGCGATGTCATTACTATTACTCCAGTAGAAGCTATGGATGCAACTGCTACAGCAATACCAGAAGCATCGACCGCAATGGTTGTTAATTCACCACAGCCCGCTGGCATGTCGCCAGAACGTATCAATATGGATCACGAACAAATGGATGTGGTGCAACAGGTTGATTCACCACGACCAGTGACTTTACAGACTGTCATACAACCCCAGCCCCAAACAGCAACAATTATACTTTCAAATGAAGACCTTTTACGTGAACAGCAGAGAAAAATTGATGAATTACAACGTCAGCTACAACGCTCACAACAAGAGTTGCAACAAATACGCCAGAAACAATTTCAGCAACAGCAACAACATCAGCAACAGCAGCAGCAAAAACAACAGCAACAACAAACGGTCACTGCGCAAATGGTAAATGCTTTACCAACGCAACAAATTACATTGATAACCACAACTGCAGCACCACCACAAACACTCACAGTTGTGCCACAAATAAAACAGGAAACAGTTGTTCCTGCTAAGGTAACTGTTAAGGCACAACCGAACAATAAAGTCAACGCTGTACCGACAACTATAATACAAAACAATCACACAAACAATAGCATTAAGACCGCAGTTAATCCACCACCGGTCTTAAGCCAAAAAATGGTAGTTAAACAGCAGCTTGAAGCAAAGATACAAAAACAAAAGCAAGCTGCAGCAGCAGCTGCCGCTCAAGCACAAGCTCAAGCCCAAGCTCAGGCTCAGGCACAAGCCCAAGCACTGGCTCAAGTGCAAGCACAAGCTCTGGCACAAGCGCAGGCACAGCTACGCTTGTACACACAAAAGACACAAACTGTATTCATTCCAACCAATCCAAATGCAAGTGCAACTGTAACCACAGCTAAAGCCGCAAAGCTCGAGGATAAAATACCTCCAGTAAACCGAAAGAATTCCATAAAAACGGTTAACGCTCCAACAACCACAATACTGACTACAAATCAAATACCATTAGCAGCCAAAACACACAATAATTTAGGACTCGTCTGGAACGAAGGTAATCAGACTATATTTCTGGTGGGACTCAATGATCAACATATGACTGCTCATACTATTGGTAATATAAGTTTAGCTAATGCAAGTCCTGCTACAAAGAAACTTTTGAACGGACATCAGCGCTCTAATTCCATGCCGAAGATTGTGTTTCCAATTGCAACTACTACGGCTCCGGATCAGATCATAGAAACTAAACCGGTCATTACACAACATCAGTTGCAACAATTGCAATTACAACATCAACAACAACAATTCCAGTTATTACAGCAACAACCACAGAAGCAGCAACAGCAAATAATACAACTTGACATTAAACCACAAAATTTACCACCTCCTCCGCCACCGCCACCACAATATGAAGAAGCTACGAAGCAACTAGCTGCTAAAGCCAACACATTTACGTCGCCACTTAACATCAAAATTAAGGAAGAACCTAACGCAAGTACAGCGACAGTAACAACACAAACGACAAGAAAAAATAAAAATAATGTTAAATCTGAAAAATTAACAGAGGTCTTGGATGTACTAATTAAACAGGGTGAGTTACCGGAGAGTGCTTTGGAGCCCATCACACCGATAACTCCATTAACACCAACTGGTACCAACACACTTATGACTGACTTAAGTGGGAATATAATATTCACTACAACTAATACCTGTAACGAACCCAATGAAACATTGGCAGCAACAGGCAGACTTGTACCGAAATTGGAGCCACAAACAACTTTACTGGACGAACAAGTAAACAGTCCAACTTTAGTACTTCCAATGGATACTACAAGTAATGATCAACAGTTACATAATGCAGGCAATGTTTTCCATATGTTCGGTAGTGGCAGCACTAGTGGCAATAGTAATAGTAACAACGCTTCTAATGGTGTCAGCCACAATTACGCTGGCATAAATACGCCAATTCACTCATCGCCTGCTAACAATTTTATTGAAAATATAGATATGACCTCACCATTACAACCTGACTGTCATATTGATGCAGAAAGTGTGGCCAAGTCATTCGATGTGTTTCTAGAGCAACATCACTCTGTTTCATCCCCAACGCATTCAATGCAGTCACCTACACATCATGATTTACTTTGCAAATCCTCTAGCCTTTCCACATCCGAAAAATCATTTGGTCACATAAGCCCAGATACAAAATTGCAGCACCATTTCGATGAATACGAGCTATTGGAACTTATGTCACAACAACTCGAAATGGACATCAGTGATGAGACAACAAACTTTGTCACCGCTAGCAGCAACAGTCGAAATAATACACATCAGTTGCTCCATTCCAATGATACAAAATCAAATAATAATTCCACATTGAATGGTTTACGACGCGATATGAATCCAAGTCTACAACCTTCAATAAATGAACTTATACAACATCACCAGCAACAACAGCATCAACAACAGCAGCACCAACAACAACAGCAACAGCAGCAGCAGCAGCAGCAGGGTCAACAACAGCAACTGATCCAACAAAACAATAACAATCGCACTTGTAATGCTGGTGGTGATGTAGCCATAAATAATAATCACTCTATATCAGATGCTGATTTTGATGCTGATAGTTTTGTGGAACAATTAACTCAAAATCACAACAATATGAACAATAACCTCGACAACAATATAATCAGCAACAATGCACCTAGCATGGGTATTAGCAATAGCAGCACCAACAATAGTAGCATGGGTAGCAGTAATAGTAACAGCAATAATCCATATACAAACGATACACCAATGGATGTTTGTGATGATTTCGATAATCCATTGGGTAGTTTCAGCTTTTCTGCGTTATCGCCAGACTCCAATATAAATACACCACCCCATCCATTTGGTACTGGACTAAGTAGTGTCAGTGGTAGTGGTAGTGGCAGTAGTAACTCCACTTGTGGGTTGCAAGCTGTGATTGGTGGTGCACAGCCACAATCGAGTTCACATGAACAAATGTCGATTTGTGGTGGTGCTGGAAGTGGTGTGAGCGGAAGCGGAGTGGATGGCAATAGTGTAGATGCTTTCAGTGCTAGTGGCGATATTTTTGATTTCTTTAATATTGACGATTATAAAATGTCATGGGGTGAGGGTGATTTTGCAGTTTAAATGGTTAGGTGTGGTAAGGTATGGTTAGGTGGGTGAGCAAAAAAATAAAGAATTTGCGATGAATAAGGATGAGCGAAAGGAAATGCATGAATTGCATAAATTACTTTACAAAAATCAATATTGAAAGTTGCAAGTAGTTGCAAAATATAAATACTCGTAGCAGTGAAAAAGGTGAATAAGTAAAATAATATTGGAAATTATAGCTCGAGAATGGATAAGAGTAAGAATTTGAAAGTCGGTCATTAGTAAGTGGTTTATTATGAACGATTTGTCTGCTATAGATTTTGAGAGTAAGTTCTTTAAAAATTTCATATTATAAATATAAATATAAAAATATGGGTATACACTTTAAAGTTCATAAAATGCATTTAAAAAATTATTTAGAAAAATTCGTTAATGTAGTAAATTTAAATTTTTAATTTGTACAGTTGCATGGAAACGATTCGGATTAGTTCTGTTGATGTTATATTTAAATGCTTGAATTTAGTTTCTTTCAATTTATTTGAAATTGTTGCTTCAACTAATTGAAATTTTATTTTTTTTTCTAAGAACTTTCTTGTTTATTCTAATAATTTTTTTTTTATCTACATTGCTTTTAGTTTCTGAGAACAATAATTGTTGAAAAAATAAACCTAGTTTGTTGTTTAAAAAACTGACTTGTTTTTCTCTGTTCAAAGAACTCTCTGCTTAGTTTTCAAAGTAGACCATTTGCAATTTTTTTTAAAATCTTACGTTACATTTTTTATTTTTTCCAACAACCGTGTTCTTTGTTCTAAGCACTTTGTTCTTTGTTAAAAGAACATTGTAATTTGTTCTAAAACTTTATTCTTTGTGCAAAGGATTTTGTTCTTTGCTATAAGAATTCTGTTTGTAGTTTTTATAATGGAATATTTGTATAAATTTTTTTTTAAATTATATGTCATCATTGTTCCTCGATAATTCGTTTATAACAAAATTCAATATAAACAAGTATTCGTAATTATGAAAATAATCAATAAATCAACGTAATTTCTTATTCAACAGAAGAATTGAAATAATGTAATCGAAAGAAATTTTTTTAAAAACATCATTCCAAAAAAAAATGAAAAAAATAAAAATTGAGGTATGAAAAGGAATAAAAATTGCTTGGGAGTGAGGTTTGAGTATTTGAAAAGATTTAATTCAGATATGTTTGTGTGATGGAAAGATTTAAACTGCAAAATTATGGACGTAATAATATATATATAAATAAACTTAAAAGCATGTTCTAAATATATTTATTTTAGAGTATACGGTACAGGCTGCAAATGAAGAGTGTTAATCCCAGATATAAAAAATCTATTGCCTAGCCAAGACATTAAATGAAAAAAGAGAAATTGATTTATAATAACAAATTATGGTAATTTTCCTTACTTGTCAAAAACGGGATTAACACTTTATATTGGCAGTGTATGTTACATATTTTAGCTTAAAATTTTTGAAATAATTATGAGCATATTATGAAAGGACATTAATACATTCATTATATAAATATTTAGTATATTTTTATAAGTCTAGCGCAAGTAATAAAAACAAATTATACACAAAAAAAAAATGTAAGAAAAATGTTTTACTTAATTCAAATGTATGAAAGAAAATTAAATATTATTTTATAAATTTATGTTTAATTTAAGTTAATGAAATTAATACACTTTAATAATAATTAACAATAATTAACTATAATTAAATAAAAAAAAATGTAATACATTTAGAAAAAAGAGAAGTATTTCCTCAGAGGAAAGAAAAGGCCTTTATTTGATTTAAATTTTACCAACACTGATTCGATATTAGTTCTTGAAAATATGAGAAAAATAATTCAAAATAATATATATTTTTACTTATGTGAAAAAAAAATGAAAGTAAAGTATCATTCTATTAATTAAAATTAGTTTTAAATTTATAAGAGGAAAAATTATATCAATATGAATATTGAAATAAAAACAACCTAAGCAAATTAAAAAGATTTAAACATATAATTCCGTTTTTAATTTTAATAATTATTAATTTAAATAAATTAAGATTTTATTTGTTGATTTTTATTAATTATGAATTAATTACAAAATTTATTAATAAAATTTATTTTAAAATTATATTTAAAATTAAAATATATAAAAAGTATAAAAATTAATATAAAATTTTTGCAAATTTCACTTGTCACTTGCTTTTATCTTAATTCAATATATAATAATTAATCTCTATAGTATAGCATTATTACTAAAAGTTGTACTTAATTAATTTAAGATATATCAATAACGATATTAATTAAAGTCAATTGTACTTTTCAACATTCATAATAACATATACAATTGCAAATTTATATTTTGTAATACATAAATAAATAGTAAATATTTTTTTATTAATATTTTTAAGAATTTTTCTCAATATTATTGTAATTATAATATGCTCAGCATGATATATAAAAATAATATTTTAAAACATATTTAAGAGTTATACTCTAAATTATACAATTTATTGCTTACGAATAATTATTATATTGAAAAGAAAAAAAATATAAATTTTACAAAATTACTTTAATTATTTTGCTTAATGCAATATGTTACGTTTTACTTAAATAATTATAAATTTTAATTGTTTTAATTTACTGTAGTTTTATATAGATATTAGTTTATATGATTATTGATTGATTACATCTATTTTATTAACACTTGTTTAACATTTGCATTAACATATTTTAAATTATAATACCACAAAATGTATACATTTTATATACATAATAAAATCTTTATATATGCTAAAAAAATTATTTTGTTTTAATATCTTTAAAATATACGTTTTTAATATTTTTGTATATATCGTATTTGAGAGCTATTGTAGTTTTCGAACCGTCCTAAAGTATTATGGAAGCAAAAATCATATTACTTAAACATCATATTATTTGTTGTGCTTGTACGAACTAATGGTGTGTTGTTGTTGTCGTTGTAACCCGCAGAGATCTATCAAGCAACTAACATCAAACGGATTACAAGCTTATATACATGGGTTAGGATATGGGTAGGTGCGGGTAATATAAGAGAGAAGGCGATTGTGTAATGTAAGAGAGAAGGCGATTGTGTAATGTAAGAGAGAAGGCGATTGTGTAGAAGTAAGAACGGATTGAAGATGGTTGTGACTTAAGCTGAAGTCAATCAGAGTCAAGGCGGATGAACTTAGCTACTTCAATGAGGCGGTTCCAAAGATTGATAAGCTTAAAGTTAGTGTGTGCTTTGGAACATGAAAGCAGTTAGGCCACATCATGGGGAGTAGAACTACATTTAGGGTATACATTGGGAATTGACGTAATTATACATGACAAGTCACTATTTACCATATGCTCTGATCGCTATTGAGTTATAACAGTTCTTGATGCACGTGGAAAGCGTCGCATTTCTTAGGAAATGCAACACTCTCTTCGAGGCAATGGTTGCACTGCAACAATTAAGAACTTTGTTGCAGTATTGCATTTGTATGGAGAGCTGCTAGTTCATATCTATATCATATCTATACTTCACCTCACTGATATTAGCTTTATTGTAATAGGTGCCGATATATCTATGATATGAAAAAAGGGATCGATAAATGTATCTTTGAGAGTGGGCTATATACTAAACAGATTCCGCATGAAGGTAGTCAACATGCGACATGCGTGGGCAGCCAGTTACAGCCTGCAAAGTTGTGTTTTGATAAGACTGAATGTTATGCCATTGCATCTTCGAATGTTGTGGAATCCAAACTAAAGGTGCATTGACTGCAATAGGACGTTGTATTGTTTTGTACATGTCAAGTATAGTTTCTTTATTTTACTATGTTATTGCGTAATTTCAGGTAACTGCATATCAGCGTAGCATTTGGAGTAAAAGTTAATATGCTATTGATTACGACACCCACCATGTTTGGATTGGTGATAGATGGGATCCTGGATTTCACCGATAAGGATTGGTGATGGTTGGGATTCATCATTGGATTGGATTTCACCGATATTGACGGGCAGAGTCGAGGAGACCAGAAGGTGAAGAAGGTGGCGGAAGATTTTGTTCGTGATATGTGATGATTTCTATCAAAGTTCTGGTAGTATTTTATATGCTTGGAATGATGTAGAAACTGTTGGAATTATTTAAAATGTGAATCAAAAATTAAACCACTGTTTGAGCATGAACATTGAAACACCTTTAAACGCAATTGTTTTTGAGGCGTTGGCTTGTCTCATCTCATTGCATACATTATCTGGGTAGTACAGTGTGGTATCGTCGGAATATTGCTTCTAGAGATAACTGTTTTTTTTATTAAATTTTTAACAAAATGTCGAAAGTTTACATAATCTGTTAACCCTTTTGAATAAGATATAAATTAAGTAAATTATATTTTTATGAAATTATAATAAATAAATTTTCAAAATTTTAAGTTTCCTTCTAAAAGCCTTTAAAATTAATTTTTTAAAAAATGTTTTTTTTTTTGAAGTATTTCTTATTAATTATTATTGCAGTGAAAGGTGGTGATAAGTCAGGAAAATTGACATCGCAAAACTTTAAAGAAAAATTATTAGATTTTTTTTTTTTGAAGTTTTGTTTTCAGGAAACTTTATTTGTGTTGTTGAAGGATATATAAATTACTTTTTAAGAAAATAATATTTCATTACTAAGTCGGAGAAAACAATTTTACTTGGTGTTTTTTTACTGTGTAAGTAAAAAATAAAAGTTTTCTCCTTGTTGTTGTGTTTCCTCCATGCAATAGCTTCCAGTGTTTT